TGTCGACTCGGGCTCTACTTAGACTGGAGTTATCGTTCCTGACAAGGACACTGACACGAGCCAAAACTAGGTCACGTTTCAGCGAAAATAGTGTAAAGGCATTTTGCGACCCCAGCACTGTAATGCGATGTAACGCTTGGCTATGAAAACAACCCAGGCACGCCCTTACGAATACCTCTTTGTCATTCTGTCATGACTCCTGTCAGCTCATCGACACGACTCAGCCAGCATAGACCAGGCATCAACAGAAATACTTCCAACTGTGACCACAGACATTTTAATTCTGAAATAATTCCATCCTGTGTATGACAATTAAGATATTAGAAAACAACATACCGCCATTCTACTAGCCCACCTTACAGAATGGTTTCGACTGCTATGTACAGCAATGCCATATGGATTAATAACAGATTGCTAACAGAAAGGCGCCGGCGCGGCTATGGTCACAAGACGGGATAAAGGCCATATGATACCATTCACTTGGAAGAGTTGCTGCCTCTCCTGCAGGAACCATTGGCACTGCACAAAGCGAGAACAAGTCTTTACTCTCTGTCATTAAAACAAATTAAACAACTCCAGCAGCTTTGGCTGATGGTTGGATCTACTGACGCCCACAGTATCGACAAGAGAGTGTAGTTCTTGACATTGCTTCGATGCGTTTGGCGAAACCAGAAACAGACTTACCTGAATCAGACAAAGACCGAATGTTCCTGAATCTGAAATTTGCTAACAAGGGAGCTGATGCTTTAACTTTAACACCAGCAAACATCAGTTTCTCAATATGTGGTAACATATTTCAGATTTCACGAAATACCAACACTATCGTTTTCCTATACGAACATTCAGGTTGTCCAATTACAGGAAGGTGTTGCAGACGTTGCAGATCACGATGTTAATTCCGCCTCATGTGGCTGCCATGTTTTGCTATGAGCAGAAGAACCTGTGGAATGTCTTTCAGAGTGGGCCAAGTCAGTGCGTGATGTTGTCATCGGTAGACTGCACAAAATGAAAATGAGGAAAGAAAATTGGAATAAACCCGTTCTGTCCCAAACAGCTGTCATCCAAAGTCTGGCGGGCACACCTGGTAGCATCACCATTCTATAGTGATTCATAAACACATGCTCTGTCAACGTAAGCAAGGTGACAATCATTGGCTTGTCTAGTCCGGATTCGATTTGTTTACAACAACACCCTACAGATGTAACACTGCTGAAACAAACATGCACTCATGACATAGCCACAACTGTACAATCGAATCTGCTTTTAGCAGATTTCTTATGGATGTGGAAAGGGTTTTGTCGCTTCTGTTTTCACGTAAATCGAAGTTGTTTGTGTTGAACTCCTGATTCATACCATACAACTCATGGAGTTTATTTTCTGAAAATGACATTGATGTTTGTCTCGGAACCCGGTACGTGGAACTATATTGTTGCAGCTAGGTGCATCTGTGTTGGTTGTCCACAAGCCAGTGTCTTCTCTGGATTTTGTAGGAATGCATGTTATTGTTTATATTCAACGATGTAAAATCCAGAAAATACCTCTCTAATGGGTATAACTTTCTTTACACATTTCCATCCAAGCTGTTTTCAATCTTCAAATAAAATGTGACCAAATTCTATTCTTAAAAGCATTCCCATACATGCCCAAAGCGTGCTAGCGTCACAATACGTGAAAAATAAGCTAAGATCCTTTTGCCGGAGAATTATCTTCAAGTTGTTAAGGCTAATTATCAGCACATCCAGACCAGATACACAGCTTTCTATAAGACATTATCCACATCCATGACTGGCACATCATTTAAAAGCAGGTGTACGATAACTGCAAAACCATTTAATAGGCCGACAGGTGAGATATATGAATCTGATGGCTGTGTCTGGCATCTGTTAGTTGACAACCATCGCCTCCGGTGTCTGTAGGGTAGAGCTCCGGCAGTGCAAGCAAACAGTCGGTGATTCGATTCATGACGGCGCCACACCTAAAGGTGTTAACAACGGGTACTTATTGTTTCTCTGTAACATATATTATATTTGGGATTACACTTTCTTAGTAAAGTACATATTCTAGTACCGGGATTCGAACCCACACCCTCAGAGTTAGGCACCTAATCGTCTAATCTCTATCTTGCGTTTGGTATGGAGGAATTAAACAAATTGCACATTCGTCACAGAGTCTTAGTACTGTCTCTGACCGGGAGATCCATGTTAATGTGGTATCTCAGTGGGCTAATACCACAACTTTGTCCGCGCACACATCTGATCTAACATGCAGACACACGCATGTTCATGTATGACGTAATGCACGCGCAATAATCTCTAACACGACGTCAAACCCCATTTCACCTCATCTTGTCTCTTGACTCACGGGGGCGGTGGGGTAGCCCAGCGGTTAAAGCGTTCTCTCGTCGCGCCGAAGACCCGGGTTCGGATCCCCACATGGGTACAATGTGTGAAGCCCATTTCTGGTGTCCCCCGCTGTGATGTTGCTGGAATATTGCTAAAAGCGGCGTAAAACCAAACTCAGTCAGTCAGTCACCAATCAGTACTTGTACATCTGATTAATACAACCCGTATCAACCCGCTCTTCTACATGTCAACACAGATACACCACGACGTTCCAATCGATAGCCACGGCCACAGTTACTGACACTGGTGTAATGGAAGCTATACCCTCTCCTTATGTTGTATTGTATTGTTTAATAGGTAAGTCGTGCTGTTTGAAACGGCGTTGTCCTAGCATGCCCAGTCTCCATTAACCTGGCATGTCATTGATCTGAGCGACAGTTAATTCCTTTTTAGTAGCCCTAGTCTCCTAATATGTAGCCCTGACGCACTCATTAATCTATTCTAGGGGTGTCGTGTTACCCTGTAGTGCAAGTCGACGGGCCATTTCCTGCAGTGTTTATATTCAGAGCTTCATCATTAGAATCGATGACGAGTTAAGGTAAAGATTAGTTCCGTTGTTACTGAAAGTTACTTTGGGATCTTGGATAACTGTCAGTAAAATTGGTTTTACATCTATTACACCTTCGTCAGTGATGTGATTTGTGCAAGTGATTATGTGTACAGCTTCAGAAATCAATAAAATAGGAATATGACCTCAAATACTAATATAAAATCTCCAGTTAATACGTATAAATTACTTTATGATTCTGGAAGACTTTTCGCGACATGTATTTTAAACAACATTAGTCGATAGGTGTCAGTTGTATTGTTAGTTACTATTTTCTTTCTGTTCCCCAACGATGCGGTTCTTGAAGGGTATTTTGAATAATCTACATGAGTCAAAGTTTTGGAGTTACTTCTTACTCTTTCGTGATGGAGTAACTCGTACACGTCGTGTTCAACAAAATATAGAAATTCATAATTACCCCAAAAAGCTTTGACTCATGCTATGATGGAGGAAAATTTGCCGTCTTCCTTTAGAATTCCGCACCGCAAACTATACAAACATTGTGCAAACATTTCCATATGACGTCAACTTGTTGCTAGGGTCACTGAGTGTGCTCAAAGTACTCTAAGGGACCGTTCATAATTTATGGCTGGGGGGTGGGGGTGGTGGGTGATGATGATTTTTATGGAGAAGCATGTACAAAGTGGATGACCCCTCTAAAATGTATGTACATAATAAGTGACCTCCCTGCATGTTATGTACAAAATCAATGCCCCCCCCCCCCTTCCCATAATTTCTAAGCATAATTTTAAACAAAATTTGTATGTACAAATTGCTGACACCCCCCAGTACGTATGTACAAAATTGCTGACCCCACTAGCTCCCCAGAACAAAACAGGTGACCCCCTTAACCCCCCCTCTCTCTCAGCCTTAAATTTTGAACAGTCCCTAACTAATCTTTGATCTCCATACCCATTGTCACTGAACAATCCCAGCGATGTTGAGACTCTTGTCATCTATTTGCTATTTCGCTTATGTATCGGTAGACGCGTTTTAGTCTTAATGCGCGACTGAGGAAAAATGGCCATTACTTGGATTCCCTGACCGCGCTTTACCAAAAGATGTTAAAGGATGGTCCTTGTCGTTACCATTCGCTCTGCATTAAGGGGGTTAAACACGGACTGGTAGGTATACTGTGTATGAATTGGGGCCCGCGTAATCAACTATAGGACCGGCATAAGTCCCGACGACATCAACGGCCACGCACACAAACATGCACATCACAACGACATGTACCGCACACATAATTATTTCCCACACCTAAGTGGCAATAGCTTTCAAAGCGACGCTAATTCTCACTTTACCCCACACGGTGTTAATGTATGTTACAAAAGGCAAGTCGTAGCACGAACAGGCAGCCCCATTCTTATGTGACAGTTGAGAATTGTTTATCAGTGGCAGCATAGGAATGAAGCGTTAGTAAAATACCGACTGTTGCCGTGGACGGTTGTAATTACGTGTTCCCTGTGATGTTTATTGACAAAGAGGGGGAGACAATGTGGTGACAGTTTATGGAAGGCTGGCTGTATGAAATCAATTTGAGAACGACTCGGGAAATTTAATGACCTGACTACGTCATCCATCCATAAATACACTTGGGAATACGCTATCATAGTTAAGCACAAACGTTATTTTAGACCGATTCGGTTAGATCGCTGACTTGTGAGCTTGCCATTTGATGCGTCTTACTGACGGTGAGGGTAGCATGGGATTCACCCTCCAATAGTACAAAAATTGTATTTGAAAATATGATCCAAAATATGACATTTGTTGTATCTTACCTATTTGTCAAAGAAAGATACCAATTAAACCCCATTACGAAATCAAGTATATAGAAACATCCGTTTCATGACATTTGACAGTGATACAATTCTGAATATTGGTAAATGTGCCGCACTAGAACTTGGTACTTATTGCTGTTTAGATTGTGGAAACATATTTAGAATATGTTGGTATATTATGCTGTAATCTTATGCGGTCTTTCACTAATTTACAATGAACGTGTATCGAACACATTTCTGTGTAAACAATTGAACACATAACTTTGCCACTTTATGAAAAAATAGTTTATTCATGTCCGTGCGTTGCCAGGCAAGATTACGCCACCTGTCCTGGGTTCTAACCAATACGCTTTTCCGGGGAGCCCTTCTTGGCACCTGAAAAGGGAATAACAAACAAATGAGTAATATAGATGTCACCGTTAGTGTCGTTTACCGACCCATGTATTGATGATAAGCATTGACCAGCAGTATCTGGTAGTCTATTGGTTAAATATCTTTCACTTGTTACTCCTCAGTGGTAGAATGTGAAATACCCATTGGAGGCGTCAACCACTGTGATACTGCTGGACGATTGCTAAAATGTGTGTTTAAAAGGTGTACACCTTGCATAGAGGCCAGGGTCCCGTTTCACAAAGCTCTCGTAGCGCTACGACTATCGTAAGTCAATGTTACAGTATAGGAAGTACGAATCTTACGAGAAAAGTTACGAGATCTTAGGCTTACGAGAACTTTGTGAAACGGGGCCCAGGTCACAAATCAGTTAAAGATAAGCAACGTTGGACGCGGAGAGTTTTAGGATGGGTGTCCGTATCTAGCAGCTTGACTTCTGAGGGTTTCTAAGTTCCCCACAATGAAGCACAAATGACACATGTGGTCTCACCCTAGGCAAGTTACTTTGTTTCATACATTGCCTCTGTTCACACAGCTGTAAATGGGTAGCTGGTGGGATACGTCATATGACTGTTAACCTTTTAGCACACTTGCAGCTTGGGTTATCTGGGACAATAATGTGTTAGCGCCTTGAGCTAGCACAAGTGCCTGGAAACAGGGGCTTTATAGATAGCAGTTCATATTAATGTACTTGCCCCTAAATTGCTTTGACAAAATGAGACAAAAATGGTCATTTCCTTTTAAAAACATAGACACAAAACACTGAATGTATATAATCTTACCGACATGAATGGCCACCATTGGATCCTGGTCAGAGCTGCCAATATGAATCGAAGCATGGCCACTTCCGTCAACGTTAATTGTCTTGCCAGTACAACTGCCATTCTCAAGGTTGCCGGAAATGACATCACAATAGCTTCCAGACGGAAGTCCAGTGTTGAGAGTTTTGGAAAGGTCATATCCCTCAAGGTTGAAGGCAATAAAGGCCTTGTTTCCTCTGGAAAATGCTATCTGATAGTCTGAACCAGCCCACCAGTTTGATAACCCGGAGTAACCTGCGATGTTCCTGAAGGCAACCATGTTGTACATCTGGCGCCATCGGTGCTCACAGGTCCAGCCGTTACCACAGGACATGCCACTGAAAAACAGAAAAATGGAGCCTAGATACAAACATAAGGCACAAAATGTTGGTAAAGATCAACGTTATGGAATCTTACCTATATCAAATCTCGGGTGGCCCAGTCGTCCAGTCACTGAGAAGAGTTTCTGTGATTGCGGGTTTTGAATCCCAGTTCGACCAAAATATACTTCTGGATGTGTCAGCAGCATACAAGTGGTCGTGGGTTTCACAGATTTGGTGAACGTTATCCTCCACGTGACACGCTCTTGAGAAATCTGGAACTTCTTTGAGTGGCATTTCCGAAGCTGGTATAATATTGACAATCTATGGATAACAAACTTCTTTTATTTCGTGACTGCCACGTTTCGATACAGATTCTTGTACCGTTGTCAAGCAATAATGACACCGATACAAGAATCTGTATCGATCTATGTTGTTATCCAGAAAGTTTGTCAACAATGTAAATCTGGAACACTGTTCACAGCGGTGTGAAACCCAACTCACACACTACTATATCAGTTCTACATTTTCTGTAAAATTTAATACATTTATGCTTGAGGTTTACCTATGCTTACACAAGTGAAAGGTATCGACAATAAGAAACATACTGTGTATTATGGGTCCTGGGAGGTATACTTACTTGATGGTGACTGACTTGGTACTCATGTCGCCGTTCTGAGGGGGTCCTTGGTCCGAGCTACCGAAGTTATACGAGCTCATCACCCTGGGAAAACCATATGGATGGGCCAACATGAAGGCTGTAGCCAGCTTATAAGGACGGGGCTCAGAGTGGGTAAGAACGCCTCCTCCGCCACCATGGCCCCGCTGGTTGTCATGGTTATCGATGAAGACAAGTGAATCATCAGAACTCAGCATTCCCCAAGCTGATCCCCAGTTGGATAAAAACTTCATGGGGTTTTGCTTTCTGGAATTAGAAACATCAATTATTTCAGTAATGAGAGATGCTTACACAGAATTAAGAATACAATTAATACAATTAATGATAGCCTTCCTATCATTTTGAAACCTTTAGAGTTTCGTATTGTTATCTTTATTGCCTGGTTGAATTTTGCATGGTGGCGCCCCTTACATCCCCGTCCTATCTCGACTTGAATCTCAGGGAATAATCTTGGAACGGAACAAAAGGTTTCTGGAAAGGGACAGAGCTTCCATTGATCATCAATGCGATATAAATGTGGAACCACATTAGACAGCACTTATAAAACCTGTTATGAATGAACCATGGTCCAATAGGTTATTTACCTGAAGACTTGAGCCAACTTGACTCCAAAAATGAAGTTGGTGACCCTGCCAGTGCCAAGGTACTGATCTCCCTTGATCGGCTCACCGCCCATGTCGATTACCTCCTGATAGACGAAAGGCTTGCCGCCTCCAACGTCAGAACGGACATTCTTTACCCTCCCGAAGATGGCAGACAAGTCACCTGCAACAGGCGTAACATGATATTTTATGCGTAAAGTCTTTATGTCAAAAAGTGGCATTTACTTAGTCTATTTTGAAGGTATTTATCCTTCATAACATTTGGTTAAATGACCACATTCGTAACATATGTTATATTTGGGATTACACTTTCTCAGTAAAGTACAGATTCTAGTAAAACAAAAAAGTACTAGAATCTGTACTTTACTGAGAAAGTGTAATCCCAAATATAACATGTGTTACATTTCGCCACTTTCTAAAATGACATTGTGTATTTCATACCACATTCGTACACTGATGGCTGATCTTAACTGAATTGTCCATTATATAGAACAAACTTTATGGATAACAACTTCTTTTTATTCGTGAGTGCAACGTTTCGATACAGTTTCTTGTACCGTTGTCAAGCCTGTTTGTTGTCATTATGCTTGACAACGGTACAAGAATCTGTATCGAAACGTCGCACTCAAGAATAAAAAGAAGTTGTTATCCATAAAGTTTGTTCTATATTGTACTTCCCAACTTCTAAAAGGCCACTCAAAGAAATTGTCCATTATGTCTGAGGGCAGTATGTCTGGAAGTACTCATTGTGTGCTCACAAAGACGTTGCAAACACCTAAGCAGAATGTTTCATGAGTCCCTCTTTCACCAAATGTAACAATTGGCCTACCTGGCCACATATGCTTGGCAGCGTCGACTCTGAACCCAGCAACTCCGATGTCGATCAAATGGTTGAGGTATCCGGCAATCTTGCCTCTCACGTAATCTTTGCCGGCTTTCAGATCCAGTAAACCGACCAGACGGCAGTTCCTCACCTCCTCTGCATTGTTGTAGTTGTGAATGGTCATGTCGCCAGTGTGGCAGTTGGAGCCGTCGTTGAAGTCAGTGGGACCGAATGGGACGCCAGGGAACTGCAGACTGTTGGCATCGTACGAGGATCCAGCTGTGCCCTGACCTGTGCCTCCAACACCGGTCATGTGATTGATCACAGTGTCCGCATAGATTCTAACAAAAATGGTACAACATAAAATAGCTTTGTTAATGTGTGCGTGCGTTCATTAAAATGTGATTCAAAGTTTCAGGTTCTCATCTTATTTACTGAGCCTCACATCAGCTTCTTACCTTTTTGGTTGAGGCAAATATATACAAAAGCGACCTGATTGCACTTGGCTCACTCACTCACTCACTCACTCACTCATTATAAGTAACCAATCCCTGAGCCTGTTTGTTAATGTGTCAATCTCACCTGACCCCGGCTTTGTTGCACCTGGACACCATATCACTCAGATCCTGCTCTGAACCACTTCTCGTCTGGAGTTTGTAGCTGACGGGCTGGTACCTCTCCCACCACGGTCGTCTGGGATTTGTAACTATACGGTTCTCATTGGGGGGAGATATCTGTAGGGAGTGACCATATTGTTAACCTCAACAAATATCTGTTCTTTGACCACAAGGTTCCCCCCAAAGTGTCCAATTTCAATGTAAAAGATGTATTTTGATTACTAAAATAAAGAGTTGGGACAGTCGTTAATGTCTGTGCGACCGAATGTTGACGTTTGGTCAAGAAACAGAGACTACCTGTTGATCAATATTTTGAAAGAAACTTTACGTGTGACGTAACGTGTGGCTGTGTATTCCCAATGGAAAGACACTCCTTAATGTCGTGAACATTACACTGCGTGTCTTGTTTTCAAAAGAGAGGTAGAGGAAGGCAAAGGATCCTGGGCCCCGTTCCTCAAAGCGATCGTATCGCTAAGATGATCGTAACTCCCATACTTTAACATAGACTTACGACTGTCGTAGCGCTACGATCGCTTTAAGGAACGGGGCCCCGGGCATTCGTAGGATCAAAACTGATTTAATTATTTGAAAAAAGATAATTAACAAACTGCAACGAAATGGAAATTAATTAATTCAACTAATTGTTTAACCTAGAAAGATAATCAAACACTTTCGTTGATAATTGTACGATAGTCTAACCTTATAAGCTAAGCAATTAAGGCCTGGAAGGATCAAAGCTAATTGATTAGATAGATGATAAGAATAAAAGTAAATGCAGTCAAGTGCTTGGGCTGCATTTAGAAGTTGGCGAGATTTTATGTAATGAGTGTAGCGGGAGAATTTTCTGAAAAATCCATTTCTTCACCGATTTCGTTGAAATTTGAAATATAAGTTACTCGTAACATATAAAAACAATATACGGTTGCAAAATTTAGATTTTTTTTTTTAAATTATTGTCCAAACAATGATTCGAACCCATGTGATCTATCTCCAGATTTTCACCCACAGTGCAATATAAAGCATGACAAGAATCCCGGAAAAGAATATAGGAACACTTGCACTTTCGTGTGTTCCCATGAGTTTATATCAGTGCACTGGCGTTACTTCACATGCTTAACAATCGATGCACGATGGCGTGGTATTTTAATATTCAATCACTTGAAACTATACCTGCTATGTTAAACCATGATGTACAAACGAGTAATTCCGCGCGTCCGGTTAATTCTGCGCAGCTGCAATAGCGTACTTCCGTATAGAAGGTAAACATCGTCTGCTACCACATTTACGCTTGAAATCGGGACATTTCTACAAGGGATTGGCTTTTAATCACTAAAGGTAAGTAAATAACAGTAATTGACAGATAAATTGACAGTTTTATGTAAATTCGTTTTCTTCAGACTTTTAAACCTTTTTCTTCATTATTCATAATTGGATTTAATATGAAACACTCTTCCTT